GTGGTACAGTCACAAGTATACGCTCATTAAATGCCGACACCGAGGATCGAACCCGATACCGAAGCATTAGGTTTTGCAGTAGTTGACTATTAGACTATTTATTCGTATTCTAATTTGGCTTTAGAAGAGGTGACCATTCACGAGTTCCCTCGAGTAGTGTCCTTCCTAGAGCAGTTGGACTCCCCAGGAGTTGCCCATCGACCACCCCGGAAAAAGTATGACCACCTGCATGGCCTCTAGTATCATCACCCCCCCCCCCCCTTTGTGAGGTATCGATCACTCTACGACATGCCACCCCTACAGGATCACGTCCCTCTTGACGACTACATTGATGCATTATGTAGCAATGCCTTCAATGGCCAGGGTCTGGACCTAACGAGGGCCAAATACACCGTAGTTGGTGAGCTCTCGTAGTCGTGATCATCATGTATCATTATAGTAGTAGGGTCGGGGATCCCAGGGATGGTCTTTGGCATTGTGAGGGGTACTGGAGGATATGTATATGGCATCAACTATATGGAAGCAGAGCAGTGGTCGGAGGTCACACATGTTCTTGTTGGCCCTAAGGTCCATGTAAGGGCAACCTCAGTGGCTTCACGATGGTGACGGTGTGCTACGATAGGCTGGGAGTCTACGGAATATCTGTCATACTCTGAGGCAGCTATCATTGACGGATAAGGTCATTTGGGTGGACTGTAGGGACCTCCTAACACCAACAGACCAAGGTGGGCCGCCGAGGGTGCCTGCTGAATAGGGAGGTCCTTCTAGGTAGTGTTGGGGGGTGGACACCGACCTCTATATTAGCAGCATTGACCTCTAGCAAGAGGACCTTAGGTAGTGGTCTTGTATGGCGGCGAGGAATAGGAATTCATCCAACCTATAGGCTCATCAAGGGAGGCGAGCAAACGAGTAAAGGGTTCCCCAACACGGTCATCACCACCGGTGACACCTCCTCCCAACACAAGCGTTGTCCCGTCACCACCCACTAGACCTTCCATCTACAAAACAGCTGAGGATGACCGTATACGCAGACCCCTGGTCTTATGCCCGGTCGTCGTGACTACGTCAAGGACTACCTTCCAACCAGCACCCCAAATCATGACACTATGTGACGCTGACCCTCTACGTGATGTCGACCTTTCCCCGACATTTCAAGGCAGTAGAAGGACGTACTTTGATGGCTCACCACTGGGGGGCGGCGGCGGCCAGCAGCGGCGGCGACGGAGTCCATCACCCGGATGTGATGCACCTATCATACCCGGTGTGACAGTCACACCGGGCAAGCATCGTCAAAGGAGACGGAGGAGGAGAGCTGTCGGGGGTTATAGAGGTAGATGGAGTCGACTCTGAGGTTTATGTGAGGTTCATATTTTTGTTTAGAAGTTGCTGATGTAATGACAGCAGCTCCAAGGCGGTCGACTAGGCTGTCCCGGAGTGCGCCCCCAAAGGGAGGCCTAAGTCGAGTCGTTAGTCTCCCGACCTTTGCAACATGATGAATGATGGAAATTAGAATTGCAACCAATTGATTAAATCTGAAATGAAGGTTTCCTCCAAATGTGTTGTGGTGCGAGCGGGAAGGGGTCATGACCTGCTAATGGTAATGGTGGTGATGGGCCCTCATGAGGAGGAGGAGGACGACAGGAATTATTATTACCAGCTATCACACGTACAACACTACTCAGGGCGCATCCAGACATAAATAATTATACTCCATTGCTGCTATGAATCTAATACCGAATCGTGAGTTAAGATTTGTTAACTGGTATGATGCCAGATGGGCCATGAGGTGTAGCAAGTGGAATCATCCTGTTCATCCGTATTCAGCTGTATTACCGAACTATATGTCTTCGGAAGCCTCGGTTGCTGCTGCTGGTGCTGCCCCTGTCACGATGAAGTCCCCAATGGGGATCGCCTATAAGGCATCATACGCTATATTGGGACTTCTCTTTGTGGTCACCAACTTTGTTATCATCCCGGTCAATCTGCAGATGCTACTGTAGGGGTTGCAGCCGATCGATCATGTTGAATATATGGTCTCATAGGTATACGGCTCCCATCATGTGCATTGCATGCCACCAAAGCCTCAAACTCAACAATACAAGTAATATCAGCAACTCTCAGTCTACGACTGCTACTCTTATAGATGCTGATGGTAAGAAGGAGGACATGGATTCGGTTTCACAGAAGGATGCTATGATGTTCCCTGTTTTTGGCAGTATAGCTTTACTCAGCTTGTGAGTCCCCCCTTCGTCGTCATTGGATCATTCAGCATCGCGAGATGAGCAATTGTGGTGGTAGGTATTTAGCTTATAAGTTGGTATCCCCCTACCTCATGAATCTACTCCTCACCGGCTATCTTGGCATGCTAGGTAGTCCGACCCGGCCGACTACTACTGCTGTTGAATACTGTATATTAGGTGTTGGTGCCTTGGCTGAGACCGTGAAGCCTCTCGTTGATAGCTGCCTCTCTGAAGACCTCACTCACAACAGGTATGTTGATGACCACCTATCACTAATCTTCTCTCGGTACTCCTACATAACCTTTACTTGACTCTTGTTCTAAAGAATTTCGGAATATCACTAGCATAATTCGACGATAATCGTCTACGTTGTATATACTACATTATCACTGGCAGGATATCAGCACTGAATTATCACCATTCACGTGCTCTCTCTATCGTCAGTATTCCCAACACAACGTCTGCCTTCTTCCACAGATTCCATATTCGCTTTACGATGCCAACTTTACTTATGAAGGTTTTTGCGGAGAAGCCAGACGAAGATCCCAATGTTGACATTAAATTCGGATACTCTCACGTAAAGTCTCTTCCCTCCCTATATTGCTAATCTTACTCTCAAGATCCTCGTCTATGGTGTGTCGGCGGTCCTTGGAGGCGTCTTTGCTTGGAACAAACAGTTCACCATCCACAACATGTTCGGTAGCTCCGTGGTGTTCCCCTACTTCCCCGACAAGCGGCCTTTAGGTGTCTCCTTCTGCATTCAAGCGATCCGTCTCGTATCCCTCCATAAGTTCTCAGTAGCTTTCATCCTCTTGGCGGGCCTCTTCGTCTATGACATATTCTGGGTAAGCCTCAGTTTTGGAGTGCATATCAACTTCCCTAGGCTGAGCTCATGTGTTGACTGCTTAGATGGTAGAATTCGCACATGACTTAGGGAGAATGTATAAAAACAACATGAATTCGCCTTTCATTTCATTGTTGTCATCAGCACATGTTAGTCCGTATTCTCGCCAACTGTTAGTGTT